CCAATCCCATGAGTTGCAAGGACTCAAGGATCACCTGTGTTGAGCACAGGGCAAAAAGAATAATAAAAATGAATAAATAGAAGCAGAAGCAGGTAGGTTTTCTTTTTAGTATTGAAATTTATTTTTTTAAATAAAACTCATTAGGTAATGACTTAAAGCATTAGGTTATGGTTCAAGTAAGTGCAACTTGAAGTAAAAATGAATTATTCTTTAAATGAACAGGTATCCAAATTAAGCACCCTTTTAAGATTTGTACTGATTGGATGTTTGTTATGTGAATTAACACACAGCCTGTTCTGTCGTGCAGGTTTTTCAGTGCTGTGTAGGTGAACACCCTCTGGAGTAAGTAATTCAGGGGCATCTCTTTTTTTTGTAGTATATTCAGTTATAATTGGTGTAAGCTGTCCTGAGTAATTTTAAGAGGCAAGTTAATTTAACAGGCAAGAGTATATTAGAAATTACTCCATAGTCTTGAGGAGAAACATTCTGTGAATTAAGAAAGAGGTGAATAAATCCCTCTGTGCTTTGCCTGTGTCACAGGGCAGCAGAAATCCCCTTTTAAAGGCAATCAAAGAGCACAAAAATAACTTTGGCGCTTGTGAAATCCCTGCTCTGAGTGGAGACTCTTGAGTGTCCTCAGCCCCTGGTTATCCCAGCCCATGTGTTTATCTGCTGTCACCCCAGCCTGGGGCTGGTGGCACTGACAGAGGGCCCCCAGGGCCTGGGGAGCTCCATCCTGGCTTCTCTGAGTGCAGATCTCTCAGCTCCACCTCTTGCTCCTCTGGGATGTTTGTTCCAAACTTTGGTGCAGTCTCTGAGGGATCTCTGGGAGCTTCACTCCCCACAGCCTTCTTCATAATGTCTAAAGTCACCTTTGGGGAAGGAGCACCTGGAATTTGTGTGTGTGGGATGCAATGGAAATCAGCTCTGATCCCTCTGTGAGGCACTGGCTGTGCTGGGAGCTGGATGGAGCTTGGAATCACAGGATTTGGGTTGGAATCACAGGATTTGGGTTGGAAGGGACATTAAGGATAATCCAGTGCCACCCCCTGCCATGGGCAGGGACACCTCCCACTAGCCCAGGTTGCTCCAGCCTGGTCTTGGACTCTTCCAGGGATGGAGCAGCCACATCTTCTCTGGGAATTCCATCCCAGCCTCTCCCCACCCTCCCAGGGAACAATTCCTGTCCACTATCCCATCTCTCCCTGCCCTCTGGCAGTGGGAAGCCATTCCCCCTTGTCCTGTCCCTCCATCCCTTGCCCCAAGTCCCTCTCCATCTTTCTTGGTATCAGCTTAACTGCTGATAATTCTCCTTTTTTTTTTATTTCCAGACCATTCTTTTTCATTCCTTGTAGGCACATTGAGAGCAGCTCCCTAAGAAAATGGAAGTATAAATAAAGCAGCCAAGCAATCCAGCAAAGCACTTCTGCTACCAAGGGGTAATGAGCCTGGCTTTGGAAAACACATCCATTGCTCACATATTTATCACAGGGAGAAGAAATCAAGCTTTAAAGTTGAATAAAACTGAGTCAAATTCTTTTAATGTGTTTTGGGAACCCCTCATCCTCTGTATAACCTGCATTTCAAAGCCTGGCTTAAGAGA